CTCGCGCACTTTAATCCCCTTTGAATGTACCGTGTACGTTCCCTTGGAACTGGAATCATGGCGGAATATCATGTGAAGTCCATTTTGCAGGGCACTTACGGTCAAATAAGACAACGCTTGAATGCTGCTACATGAACAAGAGAATGAAAGTGAAATGAAAGTGTTGGCTGGTGTCACTATCTCGCGAACGCGGGCGGCGGATCTCCACCAAATTCGGGGGATCCCTTCAGCTTGAGGAGCCCTCTCGAACGCCACCCTCCATGCGTCGGTAACAGCCCGAGATCGCCAGATCGGTCGGTGTCCGACCACGAATTTAACTGCCCGTAACTCCCGCACCCGGGGGCTATCAATGCAGGGGTGGTCTCATTTGAAAGGGGGCATCAAGATACACTCGATTCAGCATTCGAGAGGGTCCCTCAAGCTGAAGGCATCCCCCGAATTTGGTGCGGATCTGCCGCGCTGTTACCGTTCAAAGTTTCAATGATATTCCATACACCTAAATCTGCATAATAGAGCTGCACGATTCTGGATAAATTGAAAATCACGATTTTTTTTTGTCTCAAATAGAGATCATGAATCTCCCACGATTCTGAACTAAGCAAAATAACATGTAATTTACTAGAGGCCGTGACAAAATGTTAATTGCCCCATTCTATTGAAAACTGTTTAATTAATTTGAATGAATTATAAAAAAATTTTTTTGAATGAATAATTCAATGACTCGCATAAATAGGCTACTTTACTTGCTCCATTACTGAATGAATCAGCAGTGTTGAACAAATCTCTTGAATGAATGATTCAGTGACTAAAGCCCGGGATACACTGCACGATTTTTGGCTGTCCCAGACGAAAGATTGCCATTGTGAAGCAATCGTGGCGATTTCTGTGATCGTGGCTCTTAATCGGTGGTCCTATGTCGTACAGTGAGAGAGGTTCAAAGACGGGCGTTTTCCCGGTCTTGTGACCAAAGATAGCCTACGATAGTTTTCAGACAGTGTCAGAAATTCAGCATGATCAACGCACAGTGTGTTTGCTGCAACGACCTGCGTCTACTCAACAGCCAATGAAATTGCAACATGAAATTACGTATTGATCCACGCGACCAGCGGCGCTACAATTTCAATGCCATGGAGGCAAAAAAAGTAGAAGGTATACTGGTATGTGGGATACCCATAAAGAACAAATTCTTGCTGAGTTGTGGCAGCAGAGGGCATGTTTGTACGTTGTGTCCTCTAGCTGCTATCATGACCGCACCAAAAAGGACATAGCATGGAAGGAGATAGCGGAGGAACTGCAGCTGAGCCATGAGCGGGTCCATATTGCCCTCTTCTGCCGGCGCCTCTTCTTTGTTTCAGCGCACATGAAAAGCACAACTGCCAAAGCGCGATCCATCTTGACGTACTGGTATTTGTTTACCACTAGCGCATGCTGATTGCGCTAACGTGTGTCGCAGCCGTCGCAGCCTACGTTTCAATAGGTGTCATCATCGTACAGTCTACATGCTTGTCGTACCCAAGTTTAAACGATCCATGTAGCACAGTGTGATAAAGTAATGATCTTATAGGATTGCTAAAATCGTGCAGTGTATCCCGGGCTTAATGCAGTTTTTAACAGTCACCAGTCACATGTGAGTAACTATGGTTGCAGATGCAGAGTCAACTTGCTCTCAAGCGCTCACAGAGCAGCTTTGACCATTCCAATTTGGTGGACGTCTTACATACAGCGGCCTATCGAAACAGTCGCTAACGAGGCATTTACAAAAAACAATATTTGGTTTTTAAAAAGCCTTTTTCCAAAAGGTACATCTGGAAAAAGGAGGGTCATCTTATAATCAGGGTCATCTTATATTCGGGCCAATACGGTACTACTTTTCTACATGGTTATCCCTGTTCCATAATGCTCATTATTACAATCACCTCACCACCATCCCTTCATTAAAAGTTCCTAGATTGGTCTCCATCCTCAGCAGCACGCACATAGCATAGCTAATGCAGAGTGCTTCCAAAAAAAAGAGGTTAAACATGCGCACTGCTGAGGGCTGGAACACCAGCAGCTAATCCCAGACTTAAACCTCAGTAGTGGGAGGAATTTTGATGAACAGCACCCTCTGAGAACAAATCTAGCAAAGAAGATCTGCCAAAATCACTCTCCAACGCTCTTTCATAAGCATATAACCTCTGCAGTGAAATCCATAACTTGACTTTGTAGAAAAAATCTCATCAGCATGGGCACAGCTATGAATCAATGTACATATATATGCATACACTGACAAACACAGCTGGATGCAATGCTTAAATTGGCTCGAGTTTTAAAAAGCCTTTTTCCAAAAGGTACATCTGGAAAAAGGAGGGTCATCTTATAATCAGGGTCATCTTATATTCGGGCCAATACGGTACTACTTTTCTACATGGTTATCCCTGTTCCATAATGCTCATTATTACAATCACCTCACCACCATCCCTTCATTAAAAGTTCCTAGATTGGTCTCCATCCTCAGCAGCACGCACATAGCATAGGTAATGCAGAGTGCTTCCAAAAAAAAGAGGTTAAACATGCGCACTGCTGAGGGCTGGAACACCAGCAGCTAATCCCAGACTTAAACCTCAGTAGTGGGAGGAATTTTGATGAACAGCACCCTCTGAGAACAAATCTAGCAAAGAAGATCTGCCAAAATCACTCTCCAACGCTCTTTCATAAGCGTATAACCTCTGCAGTGAAATCCATGACTTGACTTTGTAGAAAAAATCTCATCAGCATGGGCACAGCTATGAATCAAAGTACATATATATACATACACTGACAAACACAGCTGGATGCAATGCTTAAATTGGCTCGAGTTGGTTTAGTTTACTTGCTTAGCTCAGTAAAATCCAAAAAAGCATGGGTGTTGATAGATGTGTCGTGTGCTATTGTGTCTGTCTGTGTGTGTGTGTGTATGTGTGCAAGATCGTTGCTCTTTTCTGCAGTGGCATTCCTGTCATGCCCACTCAGATTCCCGCTGTGGAAGAGCGCGTGTCCCACGCTTCCATTCAGAAGGGCACTCCAGTGTGGGCAGACACTGATAGCGTGAAACCAGAGTGCTGGTACTGTCAGAGTAGAGTACGGAGCTGACCGCAACAATACTGTTTTTAGCATTTACCTGGTTTCTTTTTCTGGATACTGCTACAGTGAAACTGAAGCTTGAATCTAAATGGATTAAATCTAGCGATGCACCAAAATTTCACAAACTGTACATATTTGAAAAATCAAAAAAGAATGAATTTGCAGTTTTAAATGAAAACGTTTCGGAAGGCCAAAATCATTGATTCAAAAGAGTAACGACTGTAAAGAGTGATACATATTAGCATATTTTATCCACAAAACATAGATAAGCCACAACAGGTAAGCATGTCAGCATTATGGACACACTAAACCATGATGAAATATTATGCTAAAATAGTTCAGCTGAAACATTGAGAGACGGCTTGTTGCTGAAGAACTTTACTACGAGAACTTGGCACTTGATTTTTAGTTTCGATTTTCTAACATTAATTCGAACCTAAATTCTTTGAAAATCATCTGCTGAAGTCTATCGCAGATCTAGACATTAATACATGTAAATAACTATGGTTGCAGCTGAACTAGGGAGGTATGTCAAGCGTTCATGATCCAATATTCGGATAAAACAGCAAAAAAAAACAAAAAAAAACTATTAATACATTTTTGGTTTCAGACGAAATAATTTTGAAATTCTGAGAGGTGACTTGTTCCAAAGAACTACTACGACTGGATTAATTTATAATTTGAGCTTGAACAGCATACAGAGTTCAATTATCCAATTACACAAATGTAATTATTACCAAAACCTTTCTGTTTTCAGCTAAATGACAACTTATAATTTGGTTTCATATTTCTATGCTAATTAAATCGTATTGAAGCACCTGATTTATTGATATACATCTGGATGTAATTTCGCACGTGCTGTTTACAGACTCAATATGTCAATAAAAGCACACAATACAAAGTGCACCGTTTTCAAAAGGATCTGTGCCTTTTGAAGTAAACCTGCAGATAAAAGTGCATTTATAAAGTGACATTACATATATATACAAGTCACAATCAAACCACTTACACATGCATACGAGACAAGCAAACAAGACAAACGAGCAATTTACAAGATTGCTATCAACAGATAAACATGCAGCATGCATTCCGAAGCGGCTTCTCTTCGCCGACAAACCGCAAAGCGCTAACTATGTGTTCGTACAGAAGGCATGGGATATTTTTGGCAGTTATGATAAGCATCCTAGGCTCATTTCTGGCCGGTTCACACTGTAATCTGACTGCAAAGCATGCCAGGTACTGTAGCGTGAGTGACAGACTGACAGTAGTTGAATTACATCTAGGAACAACATTTCCCAGAAGCACACTGCATTTTAGAAAAGGTCAAAGGTCAGAAGGGAGCAGTCAAATGCCATTGTAGTGCACTCAAACCTGGACATGACAACTGGTCTGGGACTGGGACCCTGATGTCTACACTGACTCTCTGGTCAATAAAAGCAATCTAGATAAGAGTTATATTCATATTTAATTAAATTTGGCCTATTTTTATTTATATTATTATTACAGACATTTTAGTGGGAGCACTTTTGAAGTTCAAAAGAGACATTTATCTTGATTAATAAATTAAAATCAATGTCGCTCTTCAAGTCAGTCCAATTAGCGCAGTCTTACCTGAACATTCACGAAAGTGAATTTATCACCAGCAGCGGCCAAACACAGCAACACACAAGCACGTACGCCATGCACTATCACTGTGTGAAATCGGACTGACCTCCCATGTAGTTCTCAATCTTTCCCCCCCCCCCCGTTTTCGCAGGGAGAACAAAAGTGCCTATCAGCAATTACGTCAGTCAAATCGACACAGCGGTAGGCACGGATTTCTACATACCAACTTTTATGAGCGCATACACAAGTTCACACACTCAAAGGGCAGCGATGACATCACAACCGTCACTTACCTTCAGGTCTCGGTGCACCACGCCCATTTGATGGCAGTGAAGCACCGCCTCCAGGATCTGCTGGATGCAGTGACTGCATGCAAACAGCAGGGGGCGCATGTTAGTCTGAGCAGCACTACAGTCCCGTGCACAGGCCAGGGGTGAGGGGTATTTGGGGCAGGTAAAAATGTAAAAAGGAAGGGGCAGGGCATCTTATCTCTGGACTCAAGCCTTGCCTCCACGTAGCTAAATATTAGCATACATTAATAACTGAAATAAAAACCACTTAAACGGCTGAAAAACCGCAGGTGGATTTTAGCACTAATAGTTAGAAAGCAAAACTTCTTTAAAGGGTTAGTTCACCCAAAAATGAACATTCTGTCATTAATTACTCCCCCTCATGTCGTTCTAAACCCGTAAGACCTCTGTTCATCTTCGGAACACAAATTAAGATATTTTTGAAGAATTCTGAGAGCTCTCTGACCCTCCCATAGACAGCAATATAATTACCACGATCGAGGTCCAGTAACGTAGCAAGGAGATTGGTAAAATAATCCATGTGACACCAGGGGTTCAACGGTAATTTTACGAAGCTACTGTCTATGGGAGGGTCAGAGAGCTCTCAGAATTAGGGGTGCTCTGATTGATCGGCTACCGATCACTATCGGCCGATAATCACTGTGGGATGATTGATCGGCGGTCTCTAAAAAGGCCGATCTCAATAAAACGATCTCAAGCTGATGACGCGCATGCCGTGAGAGGTTTGGCACGACATGCAGCAGCACAGTCTCGGTCTCTGTCTGGCGCGGGTAAAATAATTATTATGCTGAAGGTGAGGTGCAACTCCTATTTCTTCATTAAATAACTCTTAGAGTAATTTGAAAACCTTCTGTGGGACATAATTTCACAAACAGCGTGAGTGAATCACCACACGCGTGCTCTCTTTCCCTCTCAAAATGCACAAATGGCTTCAAATCACATCGCTTCTGCACTATAAGCGAGCTGCACGCTGCACAGTTGACACAGGGATTGTCACTTACACAATCACGGCAGTGTTGCATCGTCACTGAAGTTTATAAATTGCATTTATCTTTAATTCTTGCCAGTGTTTAACCATTCAGCGCTCGTGCGCTCTCCTGGAGACCGTGGGCTTATGCACACTCGCAGTGCACACACATAATGCCAGGTTCACATTACTCCGTTTGCAGTGCGGTGCGTATTTTTTTCTGCGCTCATGTTAACGGATTAAAGCATTCACACTGCACACAGTTGTGGTGCGGCAGCGGGTTCCAGGAGCGGTGAGTCTGCAGTGCAGAGATCGTTTCCGCACCGAGTCTGTTTTTGCTGCGCTGCAAGTGCTTAATTAAAGTAACAGCGCATTGTTTGTGGTAAATATGAAAACGAAAATGTAGTAATTACACCATAAATGCATATAATTAAAGTCTACTGTGTTTCACAGTAACACATATGGCTTGTTGGCTAGTTTTAAAGGAAAAAAGCACTTTTAGATAAACAAGGCAATAATAGATGGCACTCGTGGAGGTAATCAAGATTTAAAAGCAAAAGGAAAGGCAGTAGAGCTGACTGTTTGTCAGTGGTAAGTTTTAATTTAGAATGTTTGAGATAACGTAAGAAAATTATTTGAAATGTTTTGCCACTTGCTTGAGCAACTTTTTGTGCTGTGTGTAAGCTATTGTGCAACAATTGCAGGAGTGTAAAAAAAAAGTGCTGCATTTAGGTGAGATAAATATATATTTTTGAAAAATGTCTAAAAAATGCTCCCCTCCACCCCTCAAATAAAAAAAAATCCCCTCTCACAAGAGTCACCTAAAAGAGGAGAATTCCCCCCATTTTCAAAAATGAAATTCAGGGCCTGAATAAATTTCCAATAAAATTCCTGATTGGAGTATTACTATAAATAATTCTACATGATAAAAATAAGGCTTTAAAAAGATCTGTATCGGTGATCGTATCGGCAGATACTGCTTTCTGGGATCGACGATCTGTGATCGGCCTCAAAAATCCTGATCGGAGCACCCCTACTCAGAATTCATCAAAAATATCTTCATTTGTGTTCCGAAGATGAACGGAGGTTTAGAACGACATGAGGGTGAGTAATTAATGACAGAATTTAAATTTTTGGGTGAACTAACCCTTTAATAAGCAAAACTTAATATAATTTGATTCAATTGCGATATAACTAAAATTGGGTACAATAGTAATATTATTTATGGAGGCAATGCTTTGCGTCTTTTGAGAGTTTTATTTTATTTTATAGACCTCTCCCATTAAATTACTGCAAAGTATAACAGTTCCCAAAAGATTTTCCTTTTTTTTTCTCTTTTGTTTGATACAGCAGGGTTGTTATAATTTAGTGTACAAGTGGTGAACAGATCATAGATTTAGATATTTACAAATCAAGTGTAAGTTTCCTATTGCTTTTCCACTGGCCTATTATTATGTACTTTGAAGCGCTTTAGATTTTAGTTTAAAAATAATGATAATAATAACAACCATAAGACTCCTATTTTTTCTTAAAGGCAAAAATCTTCTCATGAACTGCTCATGTAATGGATCGGAGATCAACTCAATCTAAAAAGCCAAGAATGCAACAAAACTGCATTTACATACACCACCATTTAAAAGTTTAAAGCCAGTAAGTAAATTATTTTTTATTTTTTTAAATTAATACTTTTATTCAGCAAGGACACATTACAAGTGACAGTGAAGACTTGTACATTGTTACAAAAGATTTCTATTTTAAATAAATTTGGCACTGAAGACTGGAGTAATGGCTGCTAAAAATTCAGCTTTACATTAATGTAGAAAACAGTTATTTATTATTTAAGTTACGAAGACATGCTACTAGGTCCATTTCATCTACAACATTACGGCAGCTTCCTATACCCTCTAGATTCTGCTAATTTGCTGCTTGCAGCTCTACTCCTCTCCTCCTCTCCTAGGGCAGTAAAAGAGGGTTTTGGAAATTAAACCTTAAAGTAATTCATACAGAGTAACACAGCTGTATATCTATGCATTCTTTCATAAATATAGTGTCATGAGAGTGCAACGTGATTGCGGTTTGAGTGCGTGTTGAGGAGTGTAGATAGCAGCAGCAACACGTGCACACACGCATGTGAGCTGGATGCCAAGAGACCCCTGCATTTTGCTATGCACGGGTACAGCCTACACCAAGGCGAAAGATGCTTTCGGTATTTAACAGCCCAAACCCAGATCCGACACCCAAGTGATAATACACTGAGGGAGACTGAGGTCGGCGGTGGAGGAAAAGGCGACATCAGTTGGGTAAATCAATTAATGCTGTAAATGGCTCTCTAGGTCAAAGCTATTCTAATATACAGCATATCCCATGAGTCAAATCATTCAGTGCTGGAAGAAAAAGATGGGGGCTGCTATAGCTGTTCTGCAATCACACACAGCACATGGACGGTGAACAGTACGAGAAGTGAGAGAAAAAAAAAACCTTCTTTCACACATACTGGAGGATGATTCTGTCACTCTCTCCCTACAAAAGGCAAAATGTTATAAATGATTAGATTTACATAAAACTACATAAAAGCTATTTAAAGCAATCTAGCCTTAATGACCATATTTAAGTTTTAACGCAGCACTTTGAGCATGAACATTACTGATAGGGAAAGTGCTGCATAAATAACATTATAGCTGTGATTATTATTATCCATGTGCAGTGCACACCGCATGAGTTTACTGGCATGTGTGTAAAGTTCTGGCATGGCAGTAAAGTTCAGGGCTGTAAATTAAAGTGCTGCATTTGCTTTCTAAATGTCTCCCATTAAAAGACCACGGAGCATGACATATGGTCACGGCAAATGTAAGACAGACCGTCTCCGAATAAACCCATTTCTCCGAGTGAATCTGTCTGTTTACTCTGCCTTTAAATGTATGAATGCATAGAGGGATATTTAGATATTAAAAGCATGTAAGGTTTTGTGCATTCATCATAGTGTGTGCGTGTGTGTTTCTTCACACCTCCCCCAGTGTCAGCTGCTGATCATGGCTGGACTGCAAGAGAAGATGCGTGTATGACTGTGTGATTTTGTGTGCATGTGTAGGGGTGAGACAGGAAGTGTCACTGTGTTTCAGCACAAAATCTCCACTTGAAAGCTTTATATTAATATTAGCTTTAGTCCCTGTACTAACGTCACTAAATATTACTGTATTTGAGTCTCTTCTCCAACCCTTCATGAGATAGAGAGCAATTTAAAGGGGTCCTATTATGCTATTTTACAAAGTCTTGATTTTGTTTTGGGGGTGTACTAGAACAGGCTCTCATACTAGGTTGTTCGAAAAACACATTATTTTTCACATATTTTACATTATTACAACACGTCTTTCCCCAGTCTGGCATTAACGGCTCGAATAGTTCCTGTATCAAATGAAGGCTCGCCTTCTGAAATACGAAATGGGCTGTGATTGGGTAGATGGGCCAGTGTGTGTCGTGATTGGTCAGCTGGGCCAGTGTGTGTTGTGATTGGCAGCACTCGGCGCCTGGTCGGGAAATGTCATGCCCCTTACCATAGCCGCCTGTGAGCTTCAGTGTAAATATTGCATCAAAATCAAATCAATTTGAGTGTGATTTAAACCCGGATGATTGTAACCACTCTAAGTTCGTCTGCCTTGGGAAAGCTAGCATGTCTCTGACATAGTGATAACACTCGTTGCCTTCTCTAGTGCAGCTCAACCAGGTCTCGTCCCATTCGTCGATATTTGTGATATCACAAATCCCGGAAAATATGCATTGTAGTCCAAACGAGTCGTTCGTTGTAGTTTTTCAAAAGTGATTTCTGTTAAATAAAATATCTCCTTTTGAAGTGGACTTTGAGCTTTGTAACTTTGCAGATCGTTTTTATGCTCAAACAGCAACATTACAGACTAACTAAAGTTGAAAAAGTGAAAAAGCATAATAGGACCCCTTTAAGCACTAACTTTTGCAATGAGAAGTAAAACTGCAGTTACACTTTATTTTAAGGTGTTCTTGTTACAGTCTAATTATACATTTATGTACGGAGTAATATTAACGTGTACTTACTATATGGTTAGGTTTAGGCTTAGGGTTACTTGCATGTAATTTTGCATAATTTATTGTTATTACAATAATAAATACATGTAAATGTGTAACAAGCACAGCTTAAAATAAAGAGTTACCAAAATTACAAATCTAAGGTGATTTGCTAGAAAATCTCCTTTGCCAAGGCATGCTGTATACCTTAGGGCCCTATGATATCCGTGATGCCGGAATCACCAAATCCAGTCATAAAAAATGGAATTTACAGTAAAATGCGGAATGCCACAGAGTTTAACAATATTTGAACGAATAAATCAAAAATAGAGCTGCACACAATATAGACTAGTGTCTGTGGAAATTAAACCGCAATAGACTGCTATTGAAATGTGAAATCTGCATGTGCGTCTCGGTGTGAAAAAGTGACACGGTTTTGTCTACTACACATACTCAAGCATGCTTGTGTTTCCAACATCTGCCGTCTCACTATGTGAGGACGGTCCACATGAACTTCATTTCATTTCATGACTATTTCTCCATTTCATTTGATAAAAAATATTGATAGATACACAAAGGAAGTCAGAGGTCGGTCTACATTATAACCCGCCAAAATAAAAGCTTGGCTTGACTTTAAAAAAATGTTGACATTATAAAATATATTACTGTTGTACAGTAGAATGTACTTAAAGTAAAAACAATAATATATTTCACTGAAACGTTATTTTTAAGGAATGTTGCATAATATCACAATTTATCGCCCATGTTTTAATTTAAACAGTAAACCATTTTTGTGCAGCACTTTGTTTGCCAAAAAATGAGAGGACTTGTTCAAATGTCATTACATTTTAAAAGGGTGATTAAATTGATAAAGTTTCATGCATTTGTTTGATTACCACCGTTTTTCATAAGAAATTTGTGTTAAATTTAGTGCTGTCAAACGATTAATCGCGATTAATCGCATACAAAATAAACGTTTTTGTTTACATAATATATGTATGTGTGCTGTGTTTATTTATTATGTATATATAAATACACACAGATAAAATATATATTTAGAAAATATTTACATGTATATATTTATATTTATATTATATATATATAAATACATTTTATATATAAACATAACATATTTTTCTTAATTATATACATGAATGTGTGTGTATTTATATATGCATAATAAATATACACAGTACACACGCATATATTATGTAAACAAAAACTTTTATTTTGGATGCGATTAATCGTTTGACAGCACTGGTTAAACTATAAAACATAGAATCCAGAAAAATTTAAAGAAACAACACAATTTCTGGAAATAATTAAAACATTTCATAGCGCCCTATTATTAGGGATGTAACGATTCATGATTTTCAAGTCACGATTCGATTCGATTCACGATTTTGATTTCACGATTCGATTCACAATTTTTTTTTTTTTTTTTACAAAATGAGATTTAAGACAAATTAGAAATGAAATGTGTCCTTTTATTATTGCTTGGACAAAATGCTGCACGTTTCTTTGTGAAATTGAAATATAACACTATAATAAAATACTAATATAGCACTTGCATATTACTGCTCTTTTGTTGGTTTTGATTGCTTCTATTGTCCTCATTTGTAAATCACTTTGGATAAAAGCGTCTGCTAAATTACAAAATTTGAATATAATGTAAATGTAAATAACAAAACTAAATTGAAATTTTAAAACAAGCCCCAAATCAAATAAATAACACAAATAAAATAAATCTCTTCATATAAACAAACTAAGGCTTTGTCTGTGCTCTTTCCATTTAAAATTAGAGGCAACCACTGCATTTTAATCCTGATCCAAACAAAGATGCAGCATACATGCAACATGAGCAGTTTTTAATCTGAATTAGATTGTATCATTTCAAAATTTGAAGCAAAAACAGAATGATTTGACTTCAGTTTTGTGAAACTATGCATAAAAAATATCTGCATGAAACAAACAGCAGACGAGCTGCCAGCAGGTGGCGCTTGGCTTCCGCTGTAAACAAAGCAGCGCTGCACTTATGGCAAGATGAAAAGAAAAAAATACCATCTAAACTTTTCTAAAGACAGTAAGATCCCCTCAGACATACATTCATATAAACTCCTACACCTAATTGAATCGCGATTTGTTTAGCATCTCAACCGATTTGAATCGTCACATATTTGAATCGATTTTCAACCGGCTCGCAGTTAATCGTTACATCCCTACCTATTATTGTTTCAAAAAAATGGTTTGTTAAAGTTGCATGAATTCAATGAATGCAAGAACATGCAAACAGTTTTGTAACAACATGAGGATGACTAAACGATGACAGAATTGTCATTTTCGGGTGATCTATCCCTTTAAACAATAGTAATAGAAAGTAAGAACGAATAACTAAAAACCTCACAAGCAAAAATTACCCATAACACCTTGAGAGCTCTGATCATCTGCACAACGGCGTCAAGCTAAAGATCAAGCACAAGAAGTAAGGATTCGGGAATTTTGGGAAAGCAGTCAATGGATTAAGGGAAGCCCATGATGCCATACACAGACGGACAGACAGACAGACAGACAGGCTACAGCTACAGACAGGAGCAAGCAGCGGCAAACAGACAGGTTACAAACAGGCAGTGTGTGAGCTACATACTGACCTTCAGGTCCCTGTGCACTATGTCATGTTGGTGAATATGATGGACACTGTCTAGAATCTGATGGATACAGTGACTATGAAGAACAGAAAAAGAAGAGGGGGAGGGAGGGAGCGAGAGGTGAAGAGGAAGATGTGAGGATAGATGCAGTGAAATCAAACGATTGATGGAGTGATGGCAGTGCATTGAACGAAAGGAGCGGAGATGATAGAGAAAACAAGGTGGCGGGTTGAATCGATGCACGAGAGATGGGAGGAGTGACGTAGACAGTGAGGGAAGAGAGGGAGAGAGGAAAGTGAATGGTGGAAGTGAAGAGACAGAACCATTTAGACATAAAACACACTACTGTCATCAACAAGAACAAGATCAGAGAGAGAAAGAAAGAGAGAGAGAGAGTAGGTGAGGAGAAACAGGTGTAGTGTAGTGTGTGTTAAATCTGAGGATGTGAGAATAAAAGCTGGTGTGGTGTGGGGAGATTTACTATATACATTTACTGTGTCTTTGAAGGGGCAATCTTTCTCACACGCACACACACATATTCATGACAACATCGTGTTTTATATATTATATATATACTATGGTTCAAAAGTTTGGGGCTGAAGATGTTTTTGAAGCAAGTCTATAATGCTCACCAAGGCTGCATTTAAAAATGCAATAAAAATAGTAATAATAATAGAATTTAAAATAACTATTTTCTGTTTTAATATATTTCGAGGAGGGGAGAAAGATGAAGCTAATTACGTGTGTTAATTGGAGCCCTAGTTTCTCCCTCTCTCTGAGGAGGCAGGGGGCAGCGCACGGCTGCAGGGCTTCACAAGAAGAGGGACATTTCGTGTGAAAGAGAGAACAACAGAGATGGAGAGGATGGAAAGAGAGAGCGAGAGAGAGAGAGAGGAGGGACAGACAGCAGGTGGCTGGAAGCAGGTCAGCAGGAGACGAGCACAAGGAAAGAAGCGGAGATGTTTCCTTGCAATGTTTCTCTATTCCTACAAAAGAAACAGGCAAACATTTGATTTCTCAGTCACATTTAAACTTTCTAAAGATATCTAGAAAGCAGTGTGGTTCACTTCTAACAGATACTTTTTGTAAAAATAAATTTAGATTTTCCTGTAACAAATTACATTTAAAAAATAGTTAATGTGTGTGATTTAAAAAAAATTTTTTTTACATGATTGTCAGTACTGTTTTATATAATAACAACAATAATATTATTAGAATATTTTAACAATAAAATATTATAAAATAAACTATTATTATTATTAGTGCTGTCAAATGATTAATCGCGATTAATCGCATCCAAAATAAAAGTTTGTTTACATAATATATGTGTGTGTACTGTGTATTTTTTATTATGTCTATATAAATACACACACATGCATGTATATATTTAAGAAAAATATGTTTGGTTTATATATTAAATATATTTATATAACATAAGTTATATTAATATAAATATATACACATAAATACATGTATACATTTTCAAAATATGCTGTGTGTGTGTATTTATATATACATAATAAATATACACAGTACACACACATATATTACATAAACAAAAACTTATTTTAAATTCGATTAATCGCGATTAATCGGTTGACAGCACTAATTATTATTATTATTATGACTGTTATTGTTATGATTTATATTTATTTATTATTGTTGTTGTGTCTGAAATGCAAAGTTGTATAAAATACATTTCAGTAACACTTTACTTTAAAGTCCATAATGTGCGTGGTAATACATTATTATCTTGTCGTAATAATTCTAACCGAATTTAAAATGCATAGTGTTACAATGAATTGATAAGTGTTATAATGTATTAACTGTGGTTACAATTATTCATGAGATTGTACAATGCATTATAAGGTGCATAATTTTCTGAAATTTCACACTCACAATTGTGCTGTGACAACCTCCACTTTATTTGACAAGGATATCTAGGGAATAGATGCTAGCACTTGTTTCAAACACAGTTATCAGCCTATAATTTCATCTCCAGAGGCCAACGACTGCTTTATATATACCTATTATAAGAGCCCCTGTGCAATATACTACAGTAATTACAGTGTAAAAGCATCGTGCAAGAGCACATCAAGAGTGTAAACTGCCCTTCAGCAAACACTCAGCGAAAGTGTAACGTCGTAACTAACAGCTGGGTCATGAGAACAAGAGCACATTGCTCAACTTTAATAATGGTGACAAACCAAGACAGTGAGGCTCAGTATCTGTGGTTTATACACTTGAGATTGAACCTGTAAACTTGATAACAATCAAGATCATAATGCAAGAGTAACCGACTAGTCAAGTACTTGTTTGCACCAAATAGTTGACCAAATGCAGTACTTAAACTACAAAAATATTTCTTCTCACTTTTACCTAAATTGTCATTTAAGTAGTTATGTTATACATTTATTATATATTTTTTATTTATAATATATTCAACCTCAATAAATAAACAGCCATTTAAAAATAATTGTGTGTTTTTTAATGATGTTTACACAACCGTTCAAAATTTTGGGTTCAGTTAATTAAAGAAATTACTACTTTTATTAGCAAAGATGCATTCAATTGATCAAAAATGACAAAGATTTCACACTGATGCAAAAATTACTTTATAATTCCTACTTATTCTTTTCTTAAAAACCTTGTTTTCAAAGAATCCTGTAAAAAATGGCTTCCACAAAAATACTAAGCAGCAAAACTGTTTTCAACAATGATATTAAGTAGTAAGAAATGTTTCTAGAGCAACAAATCAGCATATTAGAATGATTTCTGAAGGATCATGTGACACTGAAGACTGGAGTAATGATGCTGAAAACGCAACTTTGGCATCATAGAAATAAATAGCACTTTTAAAAACAATTAAAAATAAAACAATCATTTTAAATTGTAAAAATATTTCAAAATATGCTGTATTTTTACATCAAATAAATGCAGCCTTGGAGAGACTATATTATACACACACACACACACACACCTAAACAATTTAATTGTATTTATTATTGATAGATATACTGAGATATAATATATATTATATACTATATAGCATATACTGAGATAAACTCTATATACTTATTAATTTAGTCAAATGACACGCATACACTTACCTAAAAGAAAAATTAGCTTAAATGTCAAGGGCAAAATCGTGTTTTTGGATCGTCTCATCTCTAACTTTCAGTTAGCAGACCAGAACTGTAACTACTAAACCACACCTCCCCACACGAACGATACCACGGAACAAGCACTGGGTCAAAAAAACCCACAAGAGAGACGGTCAAAGCGTACGTGGTACACACACCCACAGGAAGTCAGTGCGAGTCATTATGTGGAACTGCATATATGGGCTGGACTAACACCTTTGACTGCATACTGTAAACCCTGGTAACAAGCACACAAGCACACACTCACACAATGTGGAAAGGGATCTGCACAGGATGGTCAGGCTGCCTGTGTCTGTGTGCATATGAGAGGGAAAGAGACATAATGCATGATGAAAGAACAGAGACAGATCAGTGGAAAAAAACAAAACAAGAGAAGACATATACATAGACAGAGAGACTAAAGACATAACAGCAACACTCTAGAATTGTATATTGTTGCGAACCTTAAACCGCATAAACACATTTCATTACACCAAATAGACAAATTAATGTTCTTTTTAGCAGCATCATATGACCCCATTAAAAGTACAAATTATAAAACACTGAATGGTGTGATATAAGCTGCAAAAAAACAAAAAAAAAACAGCCCAGCATACTTGGTTACACATGCTAACACAGTAAAATGTTAAAAAATTAAATCAGTATTTGTAAATTATAAAAAAAAAATTTGTTAATGTGAATTTAGGAATCACAAATGTACAATTTCAAGTATGAAACACAGATAATCATTTTGAGATCTGCTAAATCTGATCTAAATATAAAAATAAGCATAAATAAACATGCATAAAATAAAATATCAGCTTTTAAATTAAATGTTAATATCAGCTTTTAATTAACAACCGGGCATTTCAAGTAGTGAAAAAAAAGTTTTAAAAAAAGTAGTCAAAAGTAAAATTTCGGGTAGACTATGAATAAACCACGTTCAAAATAAACATCACATCACATTAGCCATCACATTGGTCATAGCTCCAGTGTAGAGTTACAGGACTTGTTTCCATTGGCAATGACATCACAAACCTGATATGCCATTATGCCTTTTAATTACACTATCATTATTTCCTGTCGAGTGTTGAGCATTTGGCACAAAAACATGAGAGGAGGCAGCAATCACAAACCATAAGCTTGTCACAGTTGCACTAAATCAACGTCCCAGATCTCATTCAGTCTTAATAAAAGGGTCAGTGCGGCCCAGAATTGAGGGTGGCTAGATAGAGACTCAACACAATGTTTAGATGTATACCTTCACTTTTACTCCAGATTAGATTTAAGCTTCAGATGGTGAAAACCATACTAATATCTAACCTAAGTTTCTTCTGAAAAGTCATCTCAGCCTGATCTCAGCCTTCTAGTCCTGGGCGATAAAACGGTATCGATATTTATCGACGATACTCCATCGATAACGATAGAAAAAATGTTCGATATAGCGCACGATATAGGCACGTGCTATGAGTGATGCAGACAGCACACACAAACACAAACATGAGTGCTGTGCCTCCCTGTGATGAGGAGATTGTGAACTAAAAAATTAATACTAGTCGAATTTAAAATAAAAAAAAATTCATTTGAATGCAAAAATGGTACAGTCGAATGTTAGGTGTGCATCAGGGAGCTTCATCAGTGGAGCACCAGATGCGGTGATGATGATGTGAAGTTGTTGCATTTTAATGTTTTGTTAGTCTAGCCCACGAGACGCGCCGCTGCTACGTTATTCATTCAAAATATTCGAGAAATATAGCAGCTCAATGCGTAGAAGATCTTGATTAGGTTAAAACCGAAAACAAGCCATTCACACAGAACGCAAATTCAGCGCATTTTTTAGACGGACAAATATGACTGCTGCACTCACGTCTCACACAAGAGATGTATAGAAAGCCATGCAAAGTTAAAACAGTTTAAACGTTTAGAAAACACATGGTGAATTTGTGGAGGTTTATTCCTTTTCACTGCGTCTCATATGTTTTTAAATGCAATCTGTGTTCAGCGATTCGGCTCTTTTTTTTATTATTTATGCAATGCATAAATACATGATGCTGTTTTGTTCATAATTGTTTATGCAATTTACGAAATTATATTTGATTTATATATGTTAATTTAGATGTTATGCATTTTTTTTTTATGGACAGTTATTTCATTGCATTGACAATTTAATACGCTGCATTATTTTGCTCATTGCGCCCTCCTGTGGCTTCCGGAGACAAGCCAAAAGTTTCCATAAGACTTATTTAATCTGCATATAACACATAAGAAAAGAGATATTTGTTTAAATTGTATTTTGTGTTGGGCTGTTAAAACAAACAAAACTTTTTTTGTTTGTCTCAATATATTGGGTAAATTAAAAACACAGTGGTTAAATAAAAAAAAAAATTTCTATTGCGCTTTGTTTTTAAAAAGGTTATAAAAAATGTCAATAATTATCGATACCAAACAATATGAAACATTATATAGTTGATACATTTTTTAGCTGTATCGCCCAGCCCTATCTATATCTACGTCTCATATATCTATATCTATACCAACAAACCTCTCAGTATAGGACATGGTTATATAAGAGCACCCTGCTGGCCCATCTGGACAGAGAACACACTGCCTAGGCTGTTAATTACAATAACAATGATGATGATCCTAATGATGATGATGATGAGCTACTATAAGTGTGGAATAAATGCTCCCTTCTTGAAAATCAACAGAGACAGCACCAAAACCCCATCAAGCCCAAAATGGATTAGGGCGATACAAAACATGTTTCTCAAGCTTATGATTCATGCTCTAGAAGGGCATCTAATGTTTCATCAAACTGATAGCAACACAAATAACGCCTCAGGACGTATCAGAAAAATTAAATCCAACAGCAACACACGCAATTAAAAATCAGGTTTCATTAATGACAGACACAGCTAAAGGCGACATCAACGATTTAAGAAGAGAGCACAAAATTATCAACACAACTGGAAGTTCAGCTGATGTGAGTAAATTCACTACAGTCACCTAATGTAGATGCAACAATAATAATAAACGCTGGAAAACTGCAATGCTGAACAATTAGGTGTGCAAAATTTCACCACTATGTTTTGTAAGTGAAAAGTGCAAGTAAGTGAAAGTTTGAACTCACAAGAATTCACAACACAATCCAACCAGTAAGGATACAGTCATGAAAACTTGTTCCACTGTTCGACCATTATAAATATTCATATTTAATGTGCTCATTTTAATATCACTTAATCTTATATATATATATATATATATATATATATATATATATATATTTAAGTGTATATATATATATATATATACACCAAGTGGAAAACAAATGATGACTGAAATGATGAAATAAAATAATACCAAATACAGGGACGCGGGAAGTAGGGGTGCTGCAGCACCCCCTGTTTTCACATGGTTGCAAATGCAACGCCAGGTTTGTTCATTTAAATTTATTCAGTTTTAGCATTTAATAATTTATTTGTAATGATCTCTGAAATGTAAATTGTACGTGGGCTATAATAAACCCATATCTTTATAAACATGATTCATTTTACTTGTGATGTTTTCTATGTGGGATGATTAGCCTAATCCTCATGAACACGTGACGCTAGTGACCCCCGCCCCCCCAACACGGACACACACAGCACCCCCAACCGAAAGCATCTTCCCGTGCCCCTGACCAAATAGAAAACAACTGATGACTTTTCCAAGAATTAATTTCACTTTACTAAATCATTTTTCTGATGATGTTTCCACTGTTTGACAACCACAAATACACAGTAGCTATTGTTTTATCTATACAAACTTCTTTTTGCTAACTGTTTCGCTTAGAAAGTGTGCCTGTGCTGTCTTTTAGATCAATCACACTTAGTTTGATCTTTTGTTATGTAATGCTAAGACAATACAAAAATACTGTAAAGAATAAGTGTACCTTAAATGTCCAAATACTTTTTTGGGGGAGTCACTGTATAATGCATAACCTCCACTGCATCAGTACTTAAACACAACACTGTATGAAAGCAAACCCAAACATAAATCGCCATCTGACCTCTGTAAAACAACATTTATTGCAACTGACACTCAAGGTCACCAAGTCACACAGTGGAGTTCCGTGTGAAGAGCCAATTAGCCTGTATTCAAAAGGTGTTTTTTTTTCCATTTGATCATGTCCCACCTTTACCTATTGTTCAATATTTTATTGTCCCTATTCTCAGCCTTGCCATATTTTAAGATTTAATGGCTTGGCGCTGCCTCGTCTTACTCCTACTAACCCTAACACAGAGACAGGCTTCTTGATTGGCTGTTGGCCGGGTCTGGAATCCCGCCCCTTTGTCTGCCGCTGACGCTGATGTGCGTTGACCTTAAGCTCAGCTGCTGCATTCTCTGAGTTATACACATACTCCTGAAGCTGTTGCAACACTAGCGCGCCAACACCGTCAACCCAGCTATGAAGCTCCGCTCTAGCTAATGAGTTCCCTGCAGAAGCTGTCGTCCTATACCACATTTAAATAATACCCTTAAACCACCACACACTTCATTTCCAAGACAAGATATCGATTTCAAGTTGAAAACCATGCATTGCTAGTTAAAGGTTTTGGTGGTTTATGGTTGAGCAAAACTACATGTTTTCAAAATAAACAAAAACGAATTGTTCGTGAAATGGAAATTTTCTAAATGCATGTTATTGATCTTCCTTTGAATGATTTGGCCAATCATTGAGTCCGCTTAAACTCCACCCGTTTTTTACAATCCAGCCATTCTGCCTCCATTCAGTCAAGAACTGATGGACTGAACCAATTCATTGTCTCGTTTTTTTTCTTTTCCATAATCACGTTTCAGTTTTGTACATCACAAATTGGAAAGAAAATATCTGTCATTACTTGTGTTACTTCACAACTTTAAAGACACATTGGAAGACATACTCTTGCAGAAATTTGGACAGAGCACAGCAGATGTACTTTTAAATAACAGCATTTTTATAATGCAATGCTAGTAGCAATATCCTCAAAAGAAAAAACAGTGTGATCACAACCATCTGAATTCGTAATTATAGGATACAGTGATGATGTTTGTAAAGACCCAACTATTTCCGAGATGATTGCACAACTAAACTATAGCGTGCTAAAAAAACATACAAGCAAAAAATTATTAGTGCAAAAATCTAGATAAACTAGACTAATCAAAGGTTGGATGACTAGACTAGGGCACTATGATTTCAGGGATGCAGAAAACACGGACGGAATCGTGGAATCTACTGAATAATGCAGAATGTGACGGAATTTGTCAAAATTAATGAAAAGTAGGTCATTACACTTAAATCAAATTGTGATGTGGACTAGTGTCTGTACATATTAAGCCTCAAAAAGACTATTTCAATATAAATCCTGCATGTTCTGCATGTCTGTGTGATGAGTGGTGCAGACGCGTGGTTTCGTTCACTACACATAATGAAGTGCTTGTGACGCTCACAGTGATTTCAGCGTCTGCCGTCTCACTAAATGAGGACATAAATAAATAAAATAATACATAAACAACATCTCCAAAACTGTTCTGAGAGTCACTTCCTGAGCATTTTACCATTTCATTTGAGTAAAACTAGTGTCATATCATGTACACGCAGAAATTTAAAAGTATTCACAGCAACCCGTCAAAATAAAAGTTCTGTTTGACGTTAAGACCTTGTGCCAGAAATATATTACTATTCATCATCAATTATATTATAATATACTGCATTCAAATAATTGTGTCGAAACACAAAACACATGCTAAAACACAGAAATTGGTAACAATAAAACTAATAAAAAAATAAAACATTTCACGCATTTCATGTTAGGCCCTAACATGTTTTTTTTTTAAACTTTAAAAAAAAATGGTATTTTGTTAAATTGTATAAGTTTCATGATTTTAATTAATTCAACTTGCTTTTTGTTTAATACATTTTAAATGAACCATTAAACAAGAGCCCAGAAAAATTTAAACAGATAAAAACTGAATGTAGCAAAATTAAAACGGAAATTCTTTTTACAGAATTTGGGAAAAAATGAAATAGATTTCATAGGGCCCTACTAGACCGATATTGTGATGCATCGCTAATGGGTTACTACCGGGTGTGCCGCACACATCCTGAAAAGTGAAGCTGCGGGCTCTTTGATCGCCCCCTGGTGGCTGGCTGCAGTACAAAGATGGTTTTGGTCATTTAAGGTAGTTGTTATCATGCTGATATATGTTCAATTGTTCGTTTTTGTTATAAGTTTGATTTTAGCTAGTAAATTGATGCTATAAAAACGGGACGTGTCGTTATGGTTGACTGGGTCTGCGGGAGTTTAATACCGTGCTCCACCTCACGACACTACTGCGCAGACTCTGGCTCCAAACGAATCTCTACTGTGCAGACTCTGGCTCCAAATGAAGTCCTTTACTCAAGATGGCAGCGGCCATACTGAGATGCTTTGGCTTCACTTTTCTATAGTGGAAGGAAGTGGAGACGCGTCATCCATCTTTTTTTTTTACAGTCTATGGTTACTACAAATTACGTCTCATGAACTTATTTGTGTGTTCTGCCAGAGTCATGACCATCTCTCTGGGTCAGATGAGAGTCCCGTGCTCCAGGCATGCTTGTTCTCTGCCTCTTTCACATGCGAGCGAGCACACACACACACACACACACAGCTGCCAAGTGCCAAAGGTGCCTTCACTGTCAGCCTTCTCTTTATGTCTTTCTCTCAAACAGTCATTCATGATGATTCCTTCTCTCTCTCCCTTTCTGTATATCTAGGTCACATTCCCTCTCTCATGCCCACCCTCTTTCTAACCCCTTGACAGATCATATTGTTTCTCTCTCCTCAGAGTAACTCTCAGCCTAAAGACAGTCACTCCTAATCTACACGACCCACCGCAACGCTAGATTTTGTCAAATAAATGTCCATTTGAACACTGTAAACATTTATCATCCTATCTTTCCTTTCGTGACAAAACGGTACAATAACACAAAGCTACAATAAAAGAAAAAGGCTAGGGTGAAGCTCATGAAACCTGTCAAGAATGTGTCAACACTGAAAATAATATTTTTTAACACCAAATCAGCATATGAGAATGATTTCTGAAGGACCACATGACACTGAAGACTGCTGAAAATTCAGCTTTGCATCACAGGAATTATTTGCATTTTATATAGGCCTATATATTAAAATAGAAAACATTTTAAATGTGTAATAATATTACTGTTTTTACTGTATTTTTTTTATCAACAGCAGCTTTCAAAAGCATTAAAAAAAATAATCACATTGACCCCTTCGTATGGTAGTGTATATGAATTCATGTCAAAGTGTAAAAAAAAACAAAACAAAAGCACAAACACAAAAGAAAATATGACCTGGACATAATCTTGACAATCATAATAATATTACAACTCTACATTCCCAACCTTAATTTGATTTCCTCGGACCACGCAATCAGAAAGCAACGTGTCTCTCCACACAGGCTGTATTTAGAGGGCTGTTGGGCCTATTTTTAAATGGTTTTCAGTGCCTGTGGAATCAAATACATGTCAAGTGCTTGTTCTCCACATTACACATTCTCACCACAATGACCACACAGCCGAGGGGACATGATGAGGGTGACACTTTGGCAAAGCAACTGCTGGCTTCAAGTTTCAAGAGGGAGGACTTACACCCCTCAACAGCGGGATGCCGTAAAAACTGAAAATCTCTTTCTGCCATTTCATTGGTGTCTTATTGCCATGGTGTTTGGATCTGCTATTGGCGCTGACAGTAACCATGGAAGCAGTTTTAAATATAGTTATGAGCATGTTGTGGAACTTTAAGTGTTCTGTTATTGAATTTCTAAGCGTTTACAAAGGAATCCTAACATGGTTTTTTGGAAATGGTACCATGGTATCTGTTGACTTAAATACTACAGTACATGAAAATGGTCATTTTTCAGTACCATACTACATATAAAAGTATCATGTAGGCCTAGTGTTAATTTTGTCTGCCATTTTTAAATTTAGCCTTAGTCATAGTCTTTTCAAATTAGTCATTATTTTATGAGTTATTATCATGTTTAGTCAACTTTTAGACGACTAAATGTCTGAGCATTTTAGTCAGTGAAATCTTAGTTACATTTTCATCATGCTGTATAATGTTTAAACTGATAACATTTATTTTTGCCTAAATTGATTGGTGTCATTTGAGAAATGTATTTTTGCATTTCAGTTATTGCACTTTTACCAATTAGCACAAATCAACAGAATTTCGATTCGTACACATGGTTTATTTTACCTCATCTATTTGTACTGATTTATAATAGGCTATTTATTATATAAATTCATATCAAAGACTTATGCACTTTCTCTGTTTTGAATTTTGAAAACTGTTAAAACAAACAAAAAATTATATTATAACAGTGAAAGCGATATTATCGAGATCTCATGAGAGGACACAGACTGGCTGAATGACACTTTCATTTAAGATGAACATAGAGATCGCTAAATTCCAGCTTACTTGTTTGTCAGTGTTTTCAGAGCATCATCGGCGCTTCTGCAATGAAGTGCATGCGAGTGCGTGCGCATGGTTGCCAGATTGCAAGAATTAAGCAAAACACTGGGCAGAAAATGTATCCTTTTAACAAAGAAGCTCTGAGTTGAGGATTTGAACTCTTGATATCTGGCAACCGTACACGTGAAAGCTCACGCAGTAGAGATGTGTACACTGTAAAAAATAAGTGTAATTTTAACTGTAAAATTTTGTAAAAACGCTACGGAAAAAAACGGTTACTGGTTAACAGTAAGTTCCCGTACTACATACAGGGAAAAACTGTAAAATATCTAACCATGTAATTTTACAGTAAAATGCTGTTAATTTGACAGTTTTTAGAAGTAAAAATAACAAATCAATGTATAATTTACAGTCAAAAACTGTAAACTGATATTCCCAGAATTCCCTGCATGACACTCCACATTTGAAAGTATTTTGTTTAAATAATCATGTTTTTTTAATAGTTTTTGTTATTAGTTATGTATA